ATATGGTTTTGAATTTTACATAGAAACACAAAGAAAAACCTAAAACAGTCAAAAACAATCCTAGAAAAGAAAAACAAAGCTAGAAGATTCACACTGCTGAGCTGAGAACTCAGCACAAAGTTACAAAAATTGGGCCAATATAATATTGGTCTAGAGCAATAACAACACAACACAACCCCTAGAGAGACCCCATCTCCCTATCCACCTACCTACCTGGTGAAAGCATTTCCTTACATACACAGGCGTCGAAGTAAGTGAGCAGGGACAAGCCATTCTTCGCAACAATGGTGCTAAATAACTAGATACTCACACCTTTATCTCATCTATGCAAAATTAACTCAAAATGAGTCTTAAGTCTAAGTCAATAAACTAAAGTTATGAAAACATCTAGAAACAAAAAAAGAAAAGTGTTGTAAACATGGATTAGGAAAATATTTTTAGGAAACTATAAAAGTATAAATCTTTTTTAAAGTAAAAGATTAAATCATAATTGGTCACATTTTAAATTATTTCTAACATCAATGTTAGAAAAATTAAAATTCAAAAGAAAGAAAAATTAAAATTAAAAGTACAGACTGTAAAAAATCCATAAAACATGATAAAGGTGTCCCATCTAGGTTATAAAATAATTTTTACAACTCAGCAATAACAGGACAAAAGACTTGATTCTAAAATGAAAAGGAAAATTGTAACAGATGCTTCACCCAAAAAGATACACGAGCATAAAACAAATGCATGGGAAGCTTTTCAACAGCATTAGTCACAGTGAAACACTACCGCACACCCACTGGAACGGCTAAAATTAAAAGACTGGAGAACACCCGTCTTGAGAGGATGTGTAGTAACTGAGCGCATACATTGCTAATGGGAAATGCAAAATGAAAAGTCTGGCAGTTTGTTCTAAACTCAAAATCACACTTACCAGATGACCTAGCACCCTTCCTAAAACATTTTGTTTCTAGATTACTCTTTTTAATGAATAAACGATTAAAAAGAAAAATCTCGTGTAGTTTCAGATAGGAAAGATGACATTCTAGTGACAAATGCCACAGAACTGCATTCCTAAAAATGACTAAAGTGGTAAATTGCGTGCTGTGAAATAAATTTTTAAGTGGGGGGGCAATACTAAGTAGATGGACGTAAATCTGGAGGTCCAAAGTGACTACATTTAAAAATAGCAAACTAGTCAGCTGGGTGTGATGGTGCCAGCTGGAACCCCAGCACTTGAGAGGCTGATGCAGGAAGATCACAAGTTTGAGGTCAGCCTGTGCTACATGGTGAGCTCAAGGTCATTCTGTACCACATATGGAGACTGTCTCAAAGCAAACAAACAAAAAGACTATATTGATTTCAGAATTAAACTGAAAGCAATTATAGTATTAGAAGAATTTTACTAGTCAAAGGAAATGATACTTTCCAATTCTTTCCAATTTTATCTGTAATACTTAGGGGGTCTAAAAAAAGTACACTTTTTGCTAACAACAATTTGATTGCCCAGAGAAGCCAGGATAAACACTGGGAGACAAATATCATAATCATAACCATCATCACCATCGTCCCCAGGTTCTCAAGGGTGGCCCTGATACATATCATTGTATCATCTGCATTAATTTAGAAATTCAGTTGAGCACAGATATGCAAAACCTGTTTCTAGAAGCCACAGAGTGACTACAGTCTAGGGTTAAGTAAGATTATGCAACAATTGCCAAAATAAACATCAAATTCCATGTGATTTAGGGAAAAGAGAAAGCCATCTGTGCAACTAATTCACTGAGAATAAACCACTGTCTGATGGGACTAAGATTTGTCAAATGATCATTATACTATCAATAGCTATGCCAATAACAGAATCAGGAAGTCTCTCAGGGTAACTCTCCAAGGATGGCAGAAATGTAATAATCTACCTGAAGCTAGCAAGACATTCTATCAGGAAATAACACAGAGAATCTTGTATTTCATTAGCAGATAGAAAACTAAGCTTGATGAGGGCATGCCCAGACAATGAAGGACGTGTGAGTTCTCAGAAGTTCTCTGTTCAACCTAGAAACACATATGGCATTCAAATCTACATGAATTTTTAGGAGAGAAATTTCTCCCTTTCTGGTTTCTGTTTTGTTTTGTTTTTTGAAACAGGGTCTTAGTTCTGGTTGGCCTAAAACTTGGTATATAGATCAGGCTACGCTGGAACTTGTTGTAATCCTCCTGCCTCTGCCTTTCAAGTCCTGGGACTAGAGGTATGTGATACTACATTCAGTTTACAAGAGAAATTTCCATCTCTGACAATAAGTGATAATTATCAGTAGCAGTTACACACACTGCTTTCTACTTGCCAGACACTAGTTCTAACTAGGCCATCTGTATAAAATGACGACAGTCATGCCTGCACAACACTGTGAGGCAGGGAAAGGACTGACAGGCTCAGAGATCAGGTTAGCCCTCCCTTCTTCCAGGCTGGTAAGTGACAGAACCTCCTCAGGGTATCCTCTTCCGGGTCCCAAGTCTGTGGTCACAACTACACTATAATGTCCATTTTTGTAAAATGCCATTTCCTTCCCGTGGGAGCCAAGAAGGTCCAAGAACTGCTGTAGCTGTAGAGCAGGGTGAGGAAGAGCACTGCCGACAACCAGTGAGAAGCGAGGACATCTTCCTCCATTATTAAAGCCTATCGAGGAGCACAGCTGGCCAATACAAGAAGTTCACATATCCTAAATCCTCCAGAACTTTCAATTCTAAAAGAAGTTTATTAATTTTGTTTATTTAGTTTAAAAGGCAAGATGTATCAAAATAATCAAATGCAAAAACATTTGATTTCATTTTCACAAGAATTCAATTTCATTCTTTAAAAGATATTTAATAAGTAAGCACTTAGGTGTTGAAGTACTATGCTAAGCATAAGACATAAAACCTGACTTTATTAAAAATTAAAAATAAAGGGTCTCTTTTTTTTAAAAAAAAATCTTATAGTCTACAATAATCCTTTGCAATTGTTCTCATTTTACAAGACCTGACTCAAAGGAGTTAACTGATCAGTTAAGGATTTAAGTGAACAAAAGCCAACATAGAATTTGACATCTAAGTCATCCAACCCTAAAACCTACATACTTGAAATTCCTCTCATTTCAATATATATATATATATTTTTCAATATATATATATATATATTTCAATATATATATATATATATATATATATATATAGCTACTAATAGCACTATTACCCAGTTATGTCATATTAGTAATAAGGTCAGAAAGCTTGTGAGGGCTTTCTGCTATTTACCTAAAAGGGGTAAACTATTAAAGATACCATACTTTATAAAGAGACGGACCTAAGTACCTCATTAGAGTGCTCACCCCACAAGCATGAAGAGATAAGTTTAGATTCCCCAGAACCCACAAATGGCCATTCATGCCTATCTCAGCACTGGAGAAGCAGAGACAGGAGGACCCCTTGAGTTGCCAGTCTAGCCAAGCTGTGAGCTTCAGGATCAGTGAGAAGACCCTGTCTCAAAAACGTAAGGTGCACAGTGACTGAGGAAGATATGGGTATCTTCCTGTGCCAACCTCTGTCCTTCGTGCATACACAGGAGCACATACACACAAATACACACACAGCAAATAAAGAAAACTTTTAAAGAGAGGACTTTATTTAGAGCAAAATGTGGCAAATCCATCTAGCTGTTTATCATTTTGCTCAACTCTGGAATCAAAAGTTTACTTGTATGAGCTGGCTACAACTTGCGAGTCTTATAAGGGGTTCATTTGATTATCTCTATACCACTAGCCTAGACTTGCTAAATTAAACAAAACTAACAAGTAGTAACGGATTTTGAAAGAAACACTAAAGGAATAGCTATGGTCACATTAAGTTTAAAATCATGTTTTCAAAGTTTACATCCAATACTTCATAACCATCACAGTCTAGAAACACTGGAAAGTCAAACTTCACTCTAAAGCAAGCACTAATAAAAGAGAAAAAAGGGCTATCAAATATGAGACATGTTTAAACGATAACCGAGTGCTTACAAGCACTTCTGCTCTTCCAGAAGACCTGGTTCTTCTTCCTCGTACCCAGTTTGATGTCTCACAACCCCCTGTCTCTAACTCCTGCTCCTAGGGTTTGAACGTTCTTCTGGCCTCTGCAAATACCCACACATGGCATACACTCACACAGACATGTAAATATAAAATACAAAAATATACAAAGAGGGGACTAATGATATAGATATATAATGTATCTTCCCTATATAAATGAACATGGATTCACTGAATCAGGTGAAAAGTATCTTAAAAATAATTAAGTTAGCTCTCTGCCAAATTTTGCTAAGTATATTTAGTCTATAATCTTAAAAGAAAATCTTCTGGCATGTTTTAAAGGTAAAAACAAGGAGATGAGAAGAAGCTGATTAAACTCTTTACAAAATTACAAAAATTTATATGCAAAACTTTAACTCTTAAAATCTGCTTCCTATTTTCTCTTCCTTTTTGTGCACTAGATCCCTAGAATCTTTTGCCCTTTGCAGTGGAAGCTGCTACTTCATCTTTCAGCACCTCTGAAACACTCCAAGACAACAGATCAGCGGAAAGGTAGATGCACTCAATTCAGAATCCACACAGTACCATCTGGACAGAAGCTGGGTGAGAGTATCTCTTATGTAATGGTTTGTTTCATAGGTTTGTAGAGCAATGCAGTTTTTCTTAAAGGACATCCCGTAAACCCAGAGACAACATCTTTTCCCTGCTTACCTACGCACACTTTCAATTGCTGCCAGCACCTAAGTAAACTGCTTAAATACAAAGTTGTATGATCTGGTTTCCATTTCTTACCTGTTGAATAAATTGATTCCCTAACAATCACCACCAGGAATACTCTGCTAGCTTACATTTGACCTGCTTTTTAAAAGCTTTCTTTAAAAACAGGCATTGGTAATTGAGGTTTCAAACCTCCCTGTTGTGTACAGTCAGCTCCTACAGATGGTATGTACAGATGAGCTTCATACTCACCATATAGTTGCCGAAAGCGTGATCAAACATTTCCAGGACTTGATTCCTAATTGTGAAAAAACAGAGAGGGAGAAAAGTTACGTATATTCTATCAACTGTACTTCAGGAACACAATTTTCCTTCATGAAAGCACACTAATAAAAAAAATAAAACTTTAGTTAGAAGGGAACCACAGAGTAAGAAGTCTTTATTACCTCAGCACAAGGGGTGGGGCCAGACCTTTACTACCCCTAGTCCTAGTAATTTACAGAAAATTGCTGGGTTTTTTTTTTCTAAGAAAACTATTGAATGACCCATGTCATAATGGCAGAGAAGAAAAGCTGGTTTTGAAAAGAACATTACAGATATTTAATGTGATTATGTAGCCTATTCTTGGAGAGAGATGTTTCTAGATAACTCCTCCAAGCAACAATTATTAGTACCATTTATTGTTTGTTTTATATAGTGTGCTAAGGGGGTGGAGTGTGTTATACTAATATGAACTAATATTTTCTCAAGCCTGTGCCTTTCCCATTGTACTGAGTAAAACCACGAATGCCCAGTTTAAGCACATACTATGTCTCATTTCCAAAAGAAACACTTTCTGGAGTACTGTTCTCTTAAAAACACTCTCAAAAAGTAGAATTCACTTCAAAAACAAAAACTTGAAAGCTCAAAGGGAGACTTCTAGCTTTCAGGAAGCTAGGACTACAGAATCGCAAGTTTAAGATCAGCCTGGGCAGAGGGAGGTAGCAGAGAAGGGAGAGAGGAAAGAGAAGAGAACAGAATCTGTTTCTCTGAGCTCCAATACTGTTGTTTAAAGTGGAGGAGTCAGGCACCCGAACCAGGTTCACTCCGGCAGACCCCGCGAGTCTCACAATGATGCATTCTCACGACCAGGACCCGAGTGCTGTTACAAAAGCTACTGTTGAGAGCCAGCCAGGGCTGAATCCAATCATCAGCAGAGGAAAACAGCGAGATGAGACAAGGGGTTCCTAGCTCTTCTCTTCCCAAAGTTCAACTTACTAAAATCAGGACTAGAAAAAGAAGTGAAGAAAATGGCTATATTTGTTTTCCTTCCTATTATACTATCTTATAATTTTCAGAACAATTTAGAAATTACGAAATGTTGATAATAATAAAGCCAGCAGGCAGAAAAGCTCTAATACCTGACCCTGGTTATCATGACCAGCAAGGTTAAGAACACTTCATTTTGTGACCTAAATCTAAATGGTCCTGACAACTTTTTATAACTATTTTAAAACACCTACTCATTAAAAACAAGACCTTAGCTGGCAAGAGCCTTCAGTGGGCAAAGGCACTTGCCACAGAGCCTGACAATCTCAGTTTGATCCCAGGAACCCACTTGATAGAAGGAGAGGATTGAGTCCTGCGCGCTGTTCTGACTCCAAATGCCATGGCACATACGCAAATGTAATAAAATAAAGAGATCTCCCTACTGCTATGTTAAGACATTCTAAGTTTACACAGATCCAGGGAATTTCAGAAAATTAAGGAGTATCTTATGGAATCCCTCTAGATACTCATCTTACAAATGATAACGATCGCTTCAACAGCAGCAAGGCAGGACCCCACAAAACCTGTGAGCACCAACCTAAAAGTGGGATGCGCAAACTCTCTCTTCCCTGAAGTACGATAACCGGTTCCTATCAAGAAGGGAAATTTCCTGTCACTGGGAAAACTAGAGACTAGAAGTGCATCACAAGTAGAAAACTAACTTGCTAACTCAACTTTGAGAGCTATGAATTTTCCAGATTATGGGTAAATTATGATTGCAAATGAAGAACACGCTTGCACCATTGAAACACACAATCAGCAAGTTCCATGACATAAACTTCAAAGTGGGCATAACTATAGAATGACACGGCTAAAAAGTTTTTACAGTATTCTATCTATTTAACAACTGTATAGGGTGTATTGGAAATCTGACCCCCCCATTTAAAATTGTTTTTCATTCTTAAATAATTTCTCTCAAGCAATTCTTTCCTAAAGTCACACTGCCTCCCAATATCAGTAGTAACTGCATCATTGATCTATACCAGCTGAGAATCAAAAATATTAGCAAAATCTCCTATCCTGAAAAACTTCCAAGAAAAATAAGATGACATATCTGGTACATAACTGCAAACAACTGTTCCCAACAATTCCGGTGTATGTGACACGCACATGGGAGTGCACAAACACACACCCACACTCACACTCACTCACACCCCCCCACACACACACACACTATACCTTATTTTTTTAGACAGGATCTCTCACTGAACCTGGTGCTCACTGATTTGTCTAGACTGTCCAATGACTCATAAAATTTCTAATAAAAAAGTCAAATACAATATTTGCAGCCATACTAGAATTAATACCCCCCATATCTTAAGGAAGTAAGCACTGTGCATACAATGAAGCTATGAGATCAGACATAGGTAAATACAAAAACACAACAAAAATCTGACTCCACCTATTACCAGCTTCGAGACTCTGAACAAGGTAACCTTGAATCTCAATTTCTTCATTTGCACAATGGAGATAGCATCCACCTTGTGACGTAATAACAGTAATAACAGTTTTAGAGACGGCTGAGTGCCAACAGAGTGGGGAAGCCATTAAAATGCCACCAGATAATACATTAAACTTACAAAGAAAAAAAGCAAGAACTGGAACTCTTTGGTAACTTTGTCCAGATAGCTGACACTTCATCCTCTTTTCCTGATTTTTATTGCTCTTTTATTAAAAAATTAACACAGCTCTTTTGCAATGATCGAAATAAAGAAGCATATATATCAGAACCTAATGGCTCCACTTCCGTTTCATTCTAACATTATGGGATAAGTTACCTTTTATTTTTTCTAAATTTGGGTAATTTTTTTCTTATAAAATGGTATGGCTACTATTTATATATTATCCAACAATTTGCTTTAGGGTTTTGTTTTGTTTTGTTTTGTTTTAAACTATTATCTTGGGAATAGATTCTAGATAGCCTTCTAATTACAGAACTCTTTCTAAATGTATGAACATTATTCCATAATATAGACCAAAACAGCGTATTTATCAACCATTTCCCTCCCAGGAACCGGTCTGTTCTTTCCAAATGCACCCCTTTCCACACTTATCTCTAACAGTGCTTTTATTTCTGTAGGGTAGATCCCCAGGGAAACAAATGAGTCAAAGGACAAGCACGACTTAAAATTCAGGAGTTGGTGTCAAAAAAAAAAAAAATCACACGAATTTACATTCCTGTCAAGTGTTTCCACATCTTCGTTGACCAGGGCTGCATCCTGGCGTTTTGTGCTTGTTAACTAGACAAGCAAAACCCATCCAGCTCACTGCTTTAATATGCATCTCTCACAACTCTTCGCACTACTGGCCCGCACGCACTTCCTCTTTTCTCACTTAACTGTTCACGGTGTTGCCAATTCCTACAGATTCTCCACTTTGTTCTTATTCATCTGTGCCACTTGGGATGTATTAGAATTACTGAATTAAATGCTATAAATAGAGTTTTGTAACACTTTTAAGATTCATGAGACTACTCTAAGGGAGTACACGCAATCGAGGCCTTTGAGTAACATCAAATCGCCAGCTCCAACTGCTTGTAGGAAAGAAAAGACAGCAAGGAGATAGAGAACTCGGTAAAGTGCAAGTTCCAGTGAACGCCCCTTTTCCTTTAACAGGTGCAAACAGCGCACCATTTTCCCGCTGGGAGCTCAGTGGGGCGAGAACTCTAACCCTCCTCCGGCAAAAGGCGACCCCAGAACTCCGCAACCCAGGTGGTAGCCCCTCCACCAGCCCCTGACATGGCAGTGGCGTTGACACAACACGGCATATGTCTGGGGCGACCCGGGAGACACCCGACAGCCCCCGAGGTCACGTCGTGGGGATCAGCTCCCGTCCTCTTGGACCCTGTCCACCGCACCGAGGTCCTCCGGCCTCAGCAGCTGTTCCAGTCACCACAGGAAAAGTCCACCGCGCGCCGGGGGCGCAATGACAGGCACCTCGACTGCTGGCAGCCGCGCCAGGAAACCCACCAGGACAGCCACGCACCCTTACCCAAGCTTCTGTTTCTCTTCCCTACTCATGGGCGCGGCCCTCGCCGTGCACACGGACGTGGCCAACACCAGGCAGAAGGCGGCCGTCGCTGCCACCAGGCTCCATGGCGCTCGCTGGGGGACCCGGCACCCACAGCCCCGACCGCCGCCGGCTTCGCTCATGGCCCCGCGGTTCCGCG